CTTATGAACTTAAAATCCCCTTACTAATTAAATACTGTCTTAATCGGAGACAGAATAGGTGCCTTAATAGAACATAGGGACTGAATGGCCGTTTTCCTACCGATGGGACAATATCAGGACTAAAATCTGGCTGCAGAAGACATCTTACTCCTAGCCATTGAAAGCAGAGCTCTCCAGTCCACAGAATTAGCAGTAGAAAAGCACAAAATGGAAAAGTTGTGAAGCTGCAATGTACCGCAGAGAATCGGCACATTTAACATGGTGCTGGGGTTCAGAAACCAGGGAGGGTGAACAGTACCTTATGTGTCTCATGAAAAGGACATCTATTTCCACTAGGTGGCGGTGTTGGCTTAGAAATAACATGTGCGTTACTTCCCGGGGCGGGGGGGGGGGGGGGGGGGGGGGGGGGGGGGGGGGCGGGGGGGGGGGGGGGGGCGCGGGGGCGGGGAGAACATTGCAAGGGCTCTTTCCTAGATTACTCCCTAGGCTGTAAAAATTCCTGCACATTTGATGGAGAGTAAGAGACCACAAAGAGAGATAGTTATTTTGGCAACAGGATGGCTGGAAGAGAGCTTTGAGATTTAAGGACAGATTTGAGGTTGAGATTCATTCCATACTCACGGCTCCAATGAATGATTTTCTGGCAATGCACCAAAATGATAAGGCCCTGATGACTAGAGAAACACCAGGGTCTTGGTCTCACATTGATAGGATTAGTGACACGGACACAGGTGAAGTGGTTTTAGGGAGTGAAAAGTTTAATAGGCAAGAAAGAAGGAAGAAAGAGAACAGCTCTCTTGTACAGAGACAAGGGAAGGGAGTTTGGAAGAAAGAGAAACCCCCCTGTGTGGCAGAAAAGTGGTTGGTTATATGGGAGGCTGGAGGAGGTGGTATTTGATTTGCATAGGGCCCAGGGGACTGGTTTGACCAAGTGTGTCATTTACGTAGCACATGAAAAACCTGGCCCTCCCAACTTATCCCTTTAATATGCAAAAGCAGGTCACCTTGATATTTTGAACATGTAATGCTATTTGGAGGTGGCATCACACACTTGACACAGAGGTAAAAGGGAGAAGATGGTGGGAATCACAATATTGAGTGCACCTAGTTTCTAATGTTCTAAATTTGCATATCAAAGCTTGCTATCCTGGCCCTTTAAGTTGCCTTTTCTGTTAGAGAAGAGATGGTTCAGGGGTTGTTTCTTATTACAGGAAAATTACTACTGAGAACTTTTATCCTTACTATCTGGCTAAAATAATTTCTTAATAACTCCTCTATTGTTTCCAGGAATTTATCAGTTTCTTCCAGATGTTCTAGTTGCTGTGCATAGAGATATTCATAATAGTCTCTGAGGGTTTATTTGTATTTCTATGGAGTCAGTGAAAATGTCTCCTTTGTCTTTTCTGATTTTGTTTATTTGTATGCCGTCTCCTTTTTTTTCTTTATTAGTCTACCTAGTGGTCTATCAATCTTGTTTGTCCTTTTGAAGAACCAACTTTTGATTTCATTGATCATTTGTATGGTTTTTTAATATCTTAATTTCATTCACTTCAGCTCTGATTTTGTTCATTTCTTTTCTCCTGCTAGTTTCGGGGTTGCTCTGCTCTTGTTTTTCTAGTTACTCTAGGTGTGACATTACCTTATTAATTTGGGATCTTTCCAACTTTTTGATATAAACATTCAGTACTATAAAATTTCCTCATAACATTGCTTTCACTGTATTCCAGAGATTTTGGTATGTTGTATCTTTCTTTTCATTAGTTTTAAAGAATATTTTTTATTTCTACCTTAGTTTTATTCATTACCTAAAAGTCATTCTGGAGTAGATTGTTTAAGTTCTATGCCATTGCATGGTTTTGACAGATGTTCTTGGTATTGATTTTTATTTTTATTGAGTTGTAGTCCAAGAGTGTGTTTGGTGTTATTTCAGCTTTTTTCAATTTTTTGATAATTGCTTTATGGTCTGTTCTCTAGTCAGTTTCAGAGCATGTGCCATGTGGAAATGAGAAAAATGTATATTCTGTTTTGCTAGATGCATCGTTCTGTAGATGTATGTTATGTGTCAAGTTTAGGTCCCAAATATCTTTTTTAGTTTTCTGCTTCAGTGTTCAGTCTAATACAGTCAGTGGGGTGTTGAAGTCTCCAACTCTTGTTGTGTTTTATGTGAAATAAGTATGCAAACCTTCCTTTTTGCTTTCCCTTTGCTTGGTAGTTTTCTCCATCTCTTTACTTGAGACCAGTGGGTGTCATTGCACGTGAGATGAGTCTTTTGAAGACAACATACAGTTGAGTCTTTCTTCTTCATCCAACTTACAACTATCTATCTTTTAAGTGGGGGAATTTAGCCCATTTACATCCAATGTCAATATTGATAATATTGATATGTACACATTTAATCTTGTCATCATGTTGTTAGATGGTTGTTATGCAGACTTGATTTTGTCATTTCTTTATAGTGTCAATGTTCTATGTACTTAAGTATGTTTGTGTGGTGGTCGGTAATGGTTTTTTATTTCCATGTTTAGTACTCCTTTAAGGACCTCTTATAAAGCAGTTCTGGTGCTGACACATTTTCTTAGCATTTCCTTGTGTGAAAACAATCTTATTTCTCCTTCACTTATGAAGCTTAATTTGGCCACACATAAAATTCTTGGTTTGAATTTCTTTTCTTTGAGAATGCTGAATATACGCCCCCAGTCTTTTCTGCCTTGTAAGGTTTCTGCTAAAAGGTCTGCTCTTATTCTGATAGGGTTTCCTATGTGGTTGTCTTTCCCCTTCTCTCTGTCTGCCTTAAATACTTTTTTCTCTCACATTGATCTTAGAGAATTTGATGATTATGTGTCTTATGGGTGTCCCACAGGACACTATAAAATATCACATCTGAAATTTCCAAATTTGCATGTTGACCTCCCTCATGAGGCTGGTAAAAGTTTTGTGGACAGTATCCTTAAATATGTTTTCCAAGTTGCTTGTTTTCTCTGTCTCTGTTTTGGGATCCCTAGTATGTTGAGAATCTTTGCATCAAAATTCATGAGAGAAAATTATCTTTATTTTCCTTTTCTTGTAGTGTGTTTGTCTGTCTTTTGAATAAAGGTAATGCTGACTTTACAGAATGAGTTTAGAAAATTTCTTATCTTTTCAATTTCTTGGAAGAGTTTTATAAAGATTGGTGTTAATTCTTCTTGAAATGCTTGGTAGAATTTTCTAGCAATACCATTTGGTCCCATGTGCCTTTCTTTACTGAAAGTTTTCGATTTATTATTTTTATTCATTTTTAATTTAAATTTTATTATTTAGAAGCAGAGTCTTACTCTATTGCCCAAGTTGGAGTGCAGTATTATGATCATATCACACCATAGCCTCAATTTCCTGGGCTCAAATGATCCTTCTACCTTAGCCTCCCAAAATGCTAGGATTACAGGCACGAGCCACTGTGACCAGGCTTTTGGAAAGTTTTGATTACTCATTCAATCTCTTTACTCATCATAGGTATGTTTAGATATTTTATTTCTTCATGATTTGGTCTTGATATTTTGTGTGCTTCCAGGAATTTGACCATTTCATCCAGTTTATCCAATGTGTTAACACGCCATCATTCATAGTACTTTGTTATAATTGTTTCAATTTTTTTTTAAAAATTAGTCATAATGACCCATTTTTTACTTCTAATTTTAATTATCTGAGTCTTCTCTCTTTTTTATTAGTCAATCTGGTAAACATTTTGTGAATTTTGTTGATGTTTGTGTAAAACAAAATCTTAAGTTTTGTTGATTTTCTCTATTGTTTTTCTATTCACTATTTTGTTTTTCTCTACTTTAATATTTAGTATTTCTTTTCTTCTGATAATTTTAGGTTTTGTTTGTTGTTTTTCTAGTTCTTTAAGATGTAAAGTTAGGTTAGAAACAAGGCAAGGATATCTGTTCTCACCACATCTATGGAACATCATGCATGAATTCCTAGCTGATGCAAAATATGAGTAAAGGAAATAAAGGGTGTGCTAATTGGAAAGAAAAAAAAAATGAAACTATTTTTTCATGGGTAACAACAACAAAACCCTCCTACCTAATAAGCGATTTAACAAGGTTGCAGGATACAAGGTTATTATACAAAAGACCATTGTGTTCTTAAATATCAGCAAGAACAATTAGAATTTGAAGTTAAAAAATATTTATTTTAGCATAAAAAATTGAAATAGTTACAAATCTAATGAAATATGTATATAGTCTATATAAGGAAAATTATAAATATCTGATGACAGAAATCCGAGAAGATCTAAGTCAATGGGGAAGTTTTTTATGTTCATGTATAGGAAGACTCAATATTGTGAATTATCAATATTGTGAAGATGTCAGTTCTTTCCACATTGCTTATAGATTCAACTCAGTCTCAATGAAAGTCTGGTAAATAATTTTGTGTATATCCAGAAACTGACTCTGACATTTATATTGACAAAGGACAGAGAATAGCCACTACAATATTAGAGAAGAACAAAGTTGGAGAGTCCACGCTACACTACCCAACTTCAAGACTTACGACAAAACTATAATAATGAATATATAATAGCATGGTATTGGTGAAATAATAGACAACTATATCCATGGAGTAGAATATAGAGCCTATAAATAAACACACAGAAATAGAGTCAACTGATTTTTTATAAAAGAGGAAAGGCAATTAGTAAAGGAAAGTGATAGTCTTTTTAAAAAACAGTGCTAGAAAATCTGAATATTCAAGTGCAAAATGGCAATGCAACTAGACATAAATCTTACAGCTTTCGCAAAATTTCACATATACCTACTATCAACCTAAATGTAAAACACAAAACTATAAAATTCCTGGAATGTAACAAGTGGACTTCAGTTTGGTAATGACCTCTTAAATACAACAGCAAAGCACAGCCTGTGAAAACAAACAAGTGATAAATGGTATTCCTTAAAATTAAAAATTTCTTGCGTGTCTCTCTTGAGAACTATCCAGTAGGTTGGGCCTGCCAAGGAGCAAACGAAGCCCTTGAGAGCTCCACCTAGTTCACAGGATAAAATCCCGCAGCAGAACACGGATTCAGCAATGGCTAAACCCCAGGTGGTTGTAGCACTGGTATTAATGTCTAAGCTGTCTGTGAATGCCCCTGAATTTTATCCATCAGGTTATTCTTTCAATTACACAGAATCCTATGAGGATGGTTGTGAGGATTATCCCACTCTATCTGAATATGTTCAGGAATTTTTGAATCATCTTACAGAGCAGCCTGGCAGTTTTGAAACTGAAATTGAACAGTTTGCGGAGACCCTGAATGGTTGGGTTACAACAGATGATGCTTTGCAAGAACTTGTGGAACTCATATATCAACAGGCCACGTCTATCCCGAATTTCTCTTATATGGGAGCTCGCCTGTGTAATTACCTGTCCCATCATCTGACAATTAACCCACAGAGTGGCAATTTCGGCCAATTGCTACTTCAAAGATGTCGGACTGAATATGAAGTTAAAGATCAAGCTGCAAAAGGGGATGAGATTACTCGAAAACGATTTCATGCATTTGTACTCTTTCTGGGAGAGCTTTATCTTAACCTGGAGATCAAGGGAACAAATGGACAGGTTACGAGAGCAGGTATTCTTCAGGTTGGTCTTCGAGAGCTGCTGAATGCCTCTTTTCCAATCCTATGGATGACAAGTTAATTTGTGCAGTAAAATTATTGAAGTTGACAGGATCAGTTTTGGAAGATGCTTGGAAGGAAAAAGGAAAGATGGATATGGAAGAAATTATTCAGAGAATTAAATATGTTGTCCTAGATGCAAACTGCAGTAGAGATATAAAACAGATGCTCTTGAAGCTTGTGGAACTCCGGTCAAGTAACTGGGGTAGAGTCCATGCAACTTCAACATACAGAGAAGCAACACCAGAAAATGATCCTAACTACTTTATGAATGAACCAACATCTTATACATCTGATGGTGTTCCTTTCACTGCAGCTGATCCAGATTATCAAAAGAAATATCAAGGGTTACTTGAAAGACAGGACTTTTTTCCAGATTATGAAGAAAATGGAACAGATTTATCAGGGGCTGGTGATCCATACTTGGATGATATTGATGATGAGATGGACCCAGAGATAGAAGAAGCTTATGAAAAGTTTTGTTTGGAATCAGAGCGTAAGCGAAAACAGTAAAGTTAAATTTCAGCATATCAGTTTTATAAAGCAGTTTAGGTATGGTGATTTAGCAGAACACAGGAAAGCAAGAAAATGTGTCCTACTTATACCAAATTAAGGATGTTGAGTTATATTACTAATGTATGCAACTTTAATTTTGTTTAATACTATCTGCCAAAATAAACTTTATTCCCTATAACTTAAAATGTGTGTGTGTGTGTGTGTGTGTGTGTGTGTGTATATAATAGTTTATTATGTACAGTTACTGGAAGAAAATATTTTTCTTTAAAACAGAAATATAATAAAGGACTGATATCCAAAATATGCTAAGAACTCTTACATTTTAACAAGAAAAACAACTAAAAAATGGGGAAATGACCTGAACAGATACAGCACCAAGGATGATACGCAAATGGAAAATAAGCATATGAAAAGATGTTCAAGGTCACATATCATAGAGAATTGCAAATTCAAACAATAATAAAATACCATTACATATCTGTTAGAATGGTTAAAATTTAAAGTGCTGACAACAGGAAATCATGGTGAGAATATGGAGCAAGAAAACCTCTCATTCATTGCTGGTGGAAATGCAAAATAATACAGCTGCTTTTGTAGACAGTTTGAAAACAGTCGATCATATAAATGTTTAAAAAAGCTTAATTCATTATTGCCCAAACTTGGAAGTAAAGCAACCAAGATGCCACAGGGTGCCAAACATTATCCCTGATGTGTCTGTGAGGTTATTTCTGAATGAGATTAACATATGTGTAGGTAAACTGAGTAAACGAGATCACCCTCTCTGATGTGAGTGGGCTTTCTTCAATCAACTGAAGACCTGAATACAGTAAAAAGCTGAGTAAGAGGGAACTCCCCACTGCTGACTGGCTCTAGGGTGTTGCTCTTTCCAAACTAAATCACTGGCTCTTTTTGGGTATTGAGCCTTTGAGCTTTGGGGCTGAAAATTATACCTTTGGCTCTCCTGGCTCTCAGGCCTTTGAACTCAGACTAGATATACACATAGGCTCTACAGGATCTCCAACTTTCTTAAAAGATATTGGGACTTCTCACCCTTCATAACATAATCATCATGTGAACCACTTTCCTGTAATATCTCCTCTTTCCCCTTCCATCCCTCCCTCTTTCTCTTTAAACACACACAGACACACATACACACACACACACACACACACACACACACAGACAAATACATGCATCCTATTTTTTCTGTTTCTCTGGAGAACCCTGATTAATATACCACAGAATAACCTGCACATTAATATTTCTAGCAGCTTTATTCATAATTTCCAAAACTTGGAAGTAACTATGACATTTTTCAATAGGTTAAAATATAAACAGTGGTACATGCAGACAATAAATATTATTCAATGATTAAAAAAAAAGAAATGAGCTATGAAGCCATGAAATTATATGGAGGAGCCTTAAATACATATTGCTTGTGAAAGCAGCCAATTCACATACTGTATGAGTATGACTAAATGACATAATGAAAAAGATAAAACTATGGAAACAGTAAAAAGATCAGTGGTTGCAGGGGTTCAGAAAGATGGAGAGAATGAATAGGTCAAGGGAATATTAGTGCAGAGTTTTATATATAAAACTGTAGTGGTGGATGTATGTCATTATACATTTGTCAAAAACCTCACAATATACAACATAGAGTGAAACCTAGTGTAAATTATGGATTTTCATTAATAAGATATCAATATTGGTTCATTAATTATAACAAATATTTCATACTAATGCAGTATGTTTATAATAGGAAAAACTGGGGGAGGTGGGAAGGAGAATATGGGAACTTCTTGTACTTTCCACACAAGATTTTCTTAAAACTGGCTTGTCAGACAGGCACAACTATGTGTAGAATTCAAGAGATGAATACTAATGCACAAATAAAATTACAAGATGGAAAAGGACATATCATACAAACACTAGTCATAAGAAAATTACAGTGGCTATATTTGTATTAGACAAAGTAGACTTTAAAACATAGAATATTATCAGAGAGAAAGAAGGGTATTTCAAAATGCTTAGAGGATTAAACAGTCAAGGAAACATGATAATCCTAAATGTGAATACAACCAATTAAAGAGCTAAAAATATATAAACAAGATTTAAATATTATTCTCAATAATTTTTAATTGACATACAAAGGGCACACCAAAATGGACATATTATATTTTTAATTTCTACACTGGTGTAGATTTAATTTTTCTAGGCATGAGTTACAAGAATTAGAGTTGTTATTTTCGTAAAATGAAATTCAGTTTATCAATTCATGCTTAGCTTCATTTACCACTATGTGTGTAGGGAAACATATAGCATATAACCATGCTTAAGAACATAGAAAAACATTCTCCACTAACAACAGTAACAGGTCAATAAACAACAGCAGCAGCACTGATCTATGCAATTAAAACATGTTTATGTACAAATTTACCAGCATTTCCATTTGGCTTCTTTTTCATTATTATCTTGAACAATTTTAACTATGAAAATGGGTGTGACATCCACTTACCCAATGTTTTTTTCTTTTTAAGCTATAGTGTTTACAACTATAAAGCAGAATTTAAGAACATGATAATTTTACAATATAATATTGATCTTCTCGATCTTTGGCAAAACTTATTTTATATCTATAAATGTTCTTTCTGTTGCCTGGATATATTTAACTTTGATAGATCAAAATTATGTTAAAATCCCTTATTTAAAGGTTAAATAAGTTGAAACTATGACCGAAAATTATTTTCTTATATATAACTCTTTTTGTTTATTTGAGGCACTTTAGAAATTTGGGCCGGGCGCGGTGGCTCAAGCCTGTAATCCCAGCACTTTGGGAGGCCGAGGCGGGTGGATCACGAGGTCAAGAGATCGAGACCATTCTGGTCAACATGGTGAAACCCCGTCTCTACTAAAAATACAAAAAAATTAGCTGGGCATGGTGGCGCGTGCCTGTAATCCCAGCTACTCAGGAGGCTGAGGCAGGAGAATTGCCTGAACCCAGGAGGCGGAGGTTGCGGTGAGCCGAGATCGCGCCATTGCACTCCAGCCTGGGAAACAAGAGCGAAACTCCGTCCCAAAGAAAAAAAAAAAGAAAGAAATTTGGAGCATATATCTCTTCTTCCTTTCACCTCTCTTTTTCTTCCTTACCCCTCTTCCTTCTCTCATTTTTTCTCCTTCCTCCTTCCTTCCTTTCTTTCCCCTCTCCCTTTCTTTCTTCCTTTCTTTTATCATGGCTTCAGATAAAATATTTAAGCTTCCCTCTTTCCAAATTTCAGGCTCTTTTTTTTCTAGTACCCTCTCTTTTGGAGTGAAGCTACTTTTATTCCAATAACCCACATTATATAATTTTCTAATACTGCTTTCTAGTGGCATTTTAAGCTGGAGACAGTAGAAAAGTAAATAAAAGATCTAAGATGTTTTTAAATGCTTGATATATATATATATACGGGACATCAACAGAAACTACTAGAAACCAAAAATAAAAACAATATGTCCACAACTAAAAAAAAAGTAACCAAGTGAGGATTTCATTACAATGCCTGCTCAGAATGACATTATGTGATACAGAGAAGTTACTGCAGTACTTCCTAATTAAGGATAATTGGGTAACAGGTCAGTGCTAATCCTTTAATTAACAACTTATTAATATATTCAGGAAAATTCTTCTACTACAACGTTGTCTGGAGATCGTGGGGTAAGCCTAGCTACAAGATAACTGCTGAGAGGATACTTGCAGAAGATATATTTCAACTTTCTAATTAAAGACCTAAATTATTGGCTTCATGGTAGAGGCAAATAATACATTCCGTGAGTAGTTATATAATAGACATGCAAAATGATGAAGGCACTTTTTATTAAATTGCTGACCAGAAGTTGATGTAAGTGCTTTCATTTACTTGTATTTAGTATTAAAATGTTGACTTTTGGATGATTGATTTGTTTTAAGGTTAACTATTCCATACAGAGCAGGTATTCAATAAATAACGTTGACTGACAGATGGTTAAATGCTAAAATGTGCTTCATCTTTACAGGCAAATAGACACCTGATGATTGATTATAGTCAAACATCCTTTAAAATATAGTTTGCACATGTTTCAGACTAATTACTTGCTAAATTTAATTCTGAATTTAAAATGCTTTATAACTATCATTAATTAATCTGATTTAGTTTTTATTATGGCATTGCTGATGCCAAACTGGTTAAAATGTTTTAGTGCTACACTACTTGCAGTTTAAAATTCTATTTTTAAGACTTATAAAGATATACAAGGTAGTTTTTCTTCTGCTATTGCTGTAGTAAATTCCAGAAGAGTAACTCTAAAAGATTGCTCCTTAATTATTAATGAAAAAAATCAATGGATTCTATCTTCATTTCTTTCAGTTCCTGAAACTCAGATGTTATATGAAGTCAGATTTTCTCAAAAGGTAAGTTAAGTTAGTGTTTGATAACTCTAATCTTTATTTTTCCAACATAGCAATAACTCTTTCAGTCCCCTAATCTTTAAAATACTAGGAACCTATTAACTCTCTACCATGAAGATAATTCACGTGCATGTAAATGTCCTCATTTAAACATTTCACTTCATTTCTTTCAGTATGTAGGAGTCAGAAAAATTAGGTTATTTCGAAATAAACCTATGCCAGTGCCTCAGTTACGGTTATCCAAATTAAAAAACAGATTGGACAAAAAGGGTAAAATGAGACATTTGAACCACTCCAAAACACATTTAAGCATTATTTTTTGTTGTTTTTTTAAGAGACAGGGTATTGCTCTGTTGCCCAGGCTAGAATGCAGTGGTGCAATCAGGGCTTATTGCAACCTCAAACTCCTGGGTTCAAGTGATCCTGTTGCCTCAGCATTCCACATATCTGAGACTACAGGTGTATGCCACCATATCAGGTGAAGTTTTTTAAAATTTTTGTACAGATGGGGTCTCACTATGTTGCCCAGGCTAGTATTGAACTCCTGGCCCTTGGATCCTCCTACCTTGGCCTCTCAAAGAGCTGGGATTATAGACATACATCACTGTGCCTAATGTTTCATTTTTTTATAACACTCAATGGCATCTTTTATTCAGACATTTTAATGATTCACAACTAGGTGATTAGAGATTAAAAAGTATCTTGAAATAATAATTTATTTTAATTCGTGGATTTAATAATATTTTATTTAAATAAAAACATC